ACCGCCGCGCGTGCTTTGATGAATTCTGTTTCGGTCCTTAAGGGAGAGGGGGCAGCCCGGTTGCCGTTGGCGGCGGGGGGGGGGGGGGGGGGGGGGGGGGGCGGGCGGGGGGCGGGGGGGGTGCGCTGCGGGCTTTTCACCGGGGCAAAACTACACCAAATCGCATCGTATGCTATTATCGATCAGGGTGGTGGTAGTCAGATACTGTGCTCGGATCATCCCCCCTGGCCTGGTCCGCATCCTCCTAGCGAGCCCCTGGAAGCCCCTGGCCCGCTGCGAAGCTGCCCGCGTCCAGGTCGTTCCCCTCGTCGTCCAGCCATGCGCGGCCATCCTCAGCCAGCAGTGCTGCATGTGCCTTCGGGTACTTGGCCTGTCCATCGCGCTCTGCCAGGTCATCGCCCTCCCGGCTCGATATCAGCTTCACGCGCGTGATGTTGACGCCAAGCGATCCTCCGGTCGCGGTCAGGATCGCCTATCTCTTGCGGGGGTCGAGGCCAGGGCGCGCGAGCATCAACCAGCCGAGGACGAGTCCTGAACAAACATCTGGCACTTCATCGAGCTCCTCCTCGGCAGCAACATCTGGGGCTGCAACACTCCAGTGATGAGAGTCCTCGGTCTCATCGTCTCCTCGTCCGTCCGTGCGCTCGCACGTCCATTCGGAATCAAACGGCCAGTCCTTCTCGATCCATCTCCATGGTCTGGACGCGATGTGGACAGTCGACGATGAGCTGCCCACTGGGGCCGACAGTCCCGGAGCGCGCGCCAGCGCGCGTCGGAGGTGCTGGTAACCTGTCTCGAAACGGCCCGTCCACTGCTGCATAAGCTCGAGCTTTCTGCGCTTCGTCCTGATCAGGAACGCCTCGAGCTCCTGGCCGACATCAGGGACAACTTGGCCCGGGCATCTCCCCTCGAGCCATGCCGAGAGCCTCTCGACCCCGTCGAACCTGGAGAGCCAGCCTGGCTTCCAGCGCCCGACCGCGACCTCGGCCCTGCTCGCGAGACGTGCCTCGAGCCTCGGAGCGCACAGGTGCCTGTCCTCGCGCTTGGTGCCTCCCTGGTACTGGAGAGCCTTCCGTCTGTGCGTCCGCCATGTCTCAGGGTCTCCGCCCCAGCCTGGCACCTTCCCCCGATCATTTTCACTCGACTTCATCGCAGGGTTGTGTCCACCACGTGCTCCTCCTACCATGCAAGTCTAGGTAGGTATAGCGCAGTGGCATGGTTGATCTCTCCACCCCACGGTCTGCGTCAACTCGTGTTCCTGCCCGGGAACCTCAAGTCAAAAAACCTGCGCCCCTAAGCGCAAGCGAGGGGGCGCTCGCTCGAAAAGGAAATGGCAACGGGCATGCGCAGCAAACGCACGCTCACCTCACATGAAATGCTCAGGCTTGCGAATCGGGAAATCTGCAGCTGTGGCCCCTGCCCTGCTGCGGTGGGCCCCCGGCGGGCCTTGGCCGCGTGAGGCCCTCAAGAGATCGGCAAGGCAAAGACGGCTGCAAAGCTCGCGGCAGGGCGGGCGGCCCCCTGGAAGCCTCGTCGAAAGTCAGAGGCGGCAAGCTGAGCACGCGGAGCGGGAACGCGGCGGCCCCCACCCCAGACGGAAAGCAAACCGCACGCCCATGCAGCATGCCTTGGCAGCACTTGGGCCTCTCGGGTGCCTCTGGGGACGCCGCGGGGGCCTCCTGCAACGCCTCTTGGAGGGCCCCGAGGGGCATCTGTGCGGCCTCTGAGTAGCCTCTTGGGGCAGGCAGCTCGACATGTCTGCCCGTGCTCCGCCAGCAGGGGCGCCGCCTGGGGCCGTCTCGGGGCCTCGTGGGCCGGCCCGGAACTCCCTTGGGCTCCTCTTGCGCTCTTTTTGGCTGCCTCTTGTCCCATATCGGGGCGGTCTCGGAGGCCGCCGAGGCCGTCTTGGAGCGTTGGAGGCTCGAAAGGGCGAGAACGCCGAACTCCTTCAAAAACCTCAGGCACCTCGAAGAAGTCTGCCTCTGGGGGGCAGCCCCGGGGGTCCTCTGGTAGCCCTCTTGGGGCGGATTGCCAGCCTCTTGGGCAATGTCGGCCCATCTTGGAACCGTCATGGGCAATGCCCATCTTGGGGGCAGCTGGGCCCGTCTGAAGCCGTCTTGGGCGGCGCCATCTTGAACCGTATGGGGCCGCCAACGAGCCTCCAAGCATGCCAAGGTGTCGCCGCCGCTCGCTCTTTAGGCCCCCGAAGAAATTTCCTCGCGGCTCCAAATGGTCGAACTGGCCGCGGCAAGCCTTCCATTATGCCTGTCCTGACCCAAGCCTCGCAATCAACTTTTCTCTGCGTTACCACGCTCGCAGGGGCTCGACCCGGCCACAAAGGCCCGCAGGGGGCGCGCCGCACTGGTGGCTCAAGAACACCTTCTGCAGGGGATGGGGGGGGGGCTTGTTTTTCTTTCATTCCTTTTTTTTTTGGGGGGGGGGGGGGCGGGGAGCTGCTCGGGCGCGTGGGTGGGGCGCGGTGGCGGCGGCGGCGGCGGCGGCGGCGGGGGGGGGATGGAGAGGGGGGGGAGGAGGACGAGGAGAGGAAGAGGAGGAGGAGGAGGAGGAGGAGGAGGAGGAGGGGAGGAGGAGGAGGAGGAGGATGAGAGGAGGAGGAGGAGGCGGGGGAGGAGGAGGAGGAGGAGCAGGGAGGAAGCGGGGGGAAGAGGAGGAAAACGAGGAGGAGGAAAAGGAGGAGGAGGAGGAGGAGGAGAAAGAGGAGGGAAAGGAGGATGATGATGAGGAGGGACGGAGGAGGAGGAGGAGGAGGAGGAGGAGGAGGAGGAGGAGGAGGAGGAGGAGGAGGACGCGCACGCGCACGATGAGCCTCCACGGCTGCGCACGCACCGCCGCGCACGGGCACGGCATTCGGAACAGCATGTGCAGGAAATACACGCCGTGGAACCCGACGTTGCGCGGAGGGGTGGGGAGGCGGCGCCCGAGCCGCACGCGGCACAGGCCCCTGCCGCCTCCCGCGGCCGCCCCCCCGCGCCGCCCCGGAGCCCAGGCTGGCGGCGCGCATGCGCGCGATAGCCGCCATCAGCTCCGCGGGGCCCCCCTGCGGCGTGAACGGCTCGAGGCCTACCTCCATCCCCTCCGTCGAGGGGGCCGCCGCCGCCGCGGGCGCCGCATGCGCCCCGCTGCCAGCAGGAGTCGACGACGCCCCATTGCCAGCACCTCCCTCTGCGGCGGCGGGCGGTGCGCCGCGGGCCAGGCCGTCGGCCCAGCCGTCATCGCCGAGGCAGGCGTCGTCGTCGCCGTCCCCGAGGTCACGGGAGGCCGCCGTCGCGCGCAGGCTGCCCGCCCGCGCAGCAGCCGCCCCCGTCCCGCCGCCCGCCTCCGCCATCTCACCCACCACGTCCATCCTCGTCGCGGCAGCGGCGGCGCCTCGCCGACGTCGCCCGCGGCGGCGCTTCCGCCGAGGCGCGGGGGCGCCTGGCGGCCGCGGCTCCGCCTCGGGAGCGTCGGCAACAGCTTCAGGAGGCCGCTGGGGGGCTCGAGCCTGCGCAGGGCGGCGGGGCTGGCTGAGGTCGACGATCGCCGCCCTCAGCATGCCCTCCGCCGCTCGCAGGAGGCGCGTCCTGCCACGGGACGACGCCTCCCCTGCCAGCCCGCTGGCGGCGTGAGCCGCCAGGAGCGCGCCACGGGCGGCCTCCAGGGCCCCTCGGCGCGCAGCGTCCGCGCCGCTGGCTTCAGCACGCGCGGCGAGCCCAGCGGTGGCCATCACGGCGGACGGCGGGCGCGGGCCCAGGCGACACACGGCCTGATACAGTGCGGCTGGAGGAAGAGGAGGAGGAGGAGGAGGAGGAGGAGGAGGAGGAGGAGGAGGAGGAGGAGGAGGAGGAGGAGGAGGAGGAGGAGGAGGAGGAGGAGGAGGAGGAGGAGGAGGGAGGAGGAGGAGGAGGAGGAGGAGGAGGAGGAGGAGGGGGAGGGGGAGCAGGAGCAGGAGCAGGGAGCAGGAGGAGGAGGAGGAGGAGGAGGAGGAGGAGGGGAGGAGGGGGAGGAGGAGCAGGAGCAGCAGGAGGAGGAGGAGGAGGAGGAGGAGGAGGAGGAGGAGGAGGAGGGAAGGCAAAACGTGCGAAACACGACGGCGGCACACTTGTCCTCCTGGAAGCCCCAGGCGCGGCTCCCGGGCGGCTCCACGGCGGCTCGAGCTCGAGGCGGGCCCGGCCGCCTGCCAGAGCAGCCCTGGACGGCTCCAAGCTGGCTCCAGGAAGCCCTGACGACGCCCCCTAAGGGGGGCTCAAAGGGGACCCTCAAGAGCCCCCCCCCGAGCAGCATGCATCGATCGCCTGTGGGTTTGTGAACTGGTTGTGCGGTCTCGCCGTTTCCAGGTTCCGACGACGCAGGACGGCCAAGGAGGCCCCCACGATCGCCTCAAGGTAGCCCAATGACCACCCAACGTTCTCTCCCAAAGGGCCCCAATACGGCTCAAGATGCCTCCACGGAGAGAAACCCCATAAGGCCCAGAGCACATACCCACATGTCCAGATTAGCTTCGACCCGACAAGTCAGCAGGAGGCCGCAAGAGGCCCCCATAGGGCCACAACAGCCTTTCCCGCAGAAGGAACCACGAGAGCCTTAGATGGGCCCACGAGGCCTCCTATGTCTCTTCGATTAATTTCTGGATGGGCCAGTGGGGACACGCGAGGCGCCGACGATTGCCAGGCGTTGGGATGCAGCCACTCCTCTCAGACCGTGACGTTCAGCAGGACGGCCCCTTCAGGGTCTAGGATGGTTTGTGCACTGTCTTGGATACGGTCAGAGGAAAGTGTGCAGGAGATGGGTTGTTTGCATACGAGCTTATCGGCTTCAGGAGAAAGCTCTCCCAAGGCTGCAGAGTGAAGGAGATAACGCTGCTGGGAACAACCTCAAACCCCAAATTGTTGGCGACACTGGCATAATAGTCTCATGCATGCCTGGATCCGCGAGCTGCACCTAAACTGCTGACGATCGACCGCTTCAGTCGACCAGCGTACAATCGAGCGGCGACGTGGATCCTCGGCCATACACTTGGCGTAGTGGAGGATGGCTGCCAGCACTTCCTGGCAACACAGAATTACACATATCGTACTCCACATGTCCTCCTCTGATCGGCACTGCGTTTTCAACATACCCTGTCCCTCTGCTTGCATAACTCTGAAGCGCATATACGAGAAATAAGGAGGAGGAGTATTTGAGTGGAGTGCACTAAGAGAACTACTGAAAGTAGATCAGCGAAGTGGAAGTCGAGAAGTATTTCAAATAGTAGGGAAGAGAAAGGTAAACTATCGCGAGTGGTGGGCGGAGTAAAGGGGACGGGAGCAGCACTTCTTTATCAGGAGCAGCAGGGGAACTGCAATCTCGCCCTCAACATGCCTGAAGAACCCTGTAACCCCCACATCATTCAAGGACAATCGGCCCGCCTCGCGGGAAGCCCCTACATGTATCGGAATACAGATCGCATTGCATCTGCACAAAAGCAACACCTAACCCCAACTGCCAGCAGAGCAACAGCCAGCGGCACACGCATGGAACATTCAAACGAGCGCACGGCAAGTCTATGAGTGGCAGTGCTGGAAGTGCCAGTCGAACTCGCACGGATTCAATCATCATAGTAGCAAGACGTCCTGTACTGCGCTCTTCGTGTCCAGGGAGACAGCTGAAGGCCTCCCAGATGGAGTCCGAGAAATGAGATGGGGTCGGAGAATCGCGCCGCATCGCCGATGGGTCGCCGCCTGGCTCCCAATCGAGCCGAATCACCGGGATGCATCGGCCAGTTGGCGCGATTCTTCGACCCCCTCTACTCGGACCCCATCTGGGAGGCCTGGACTCTTGACTCGTGAGCCCAGGGAGGCAGCTCATCTAGGCGGCGCGCCCAAGGGACGCGAGCAAAGACGGGCCTTCTCAGAAGGCTCAGAAAATCTCTGGCCTTCCGGACAATTCTCGAAGCCTTCCCCGAAGACACGGAAGACTCCTCAGAGGGCCTGCGGGCTTCCGAGAACCCCCGCCGCCCTTAGAAACCCCGCAGGAGGAGGAGGAGGACGAGGAGGAGGCGGAGGAGGAGGAGGAGGAGGAGGATAATAATCATAATCTTCAGAGGAGGAGGAGGAGGAGGAGGAGGAGGAGGAGGAGGAGGAGGAGGAGGATGAGGATGAGGAGGAGGAGGAGGAGAAGGAGGAGGAGGGGGAGCAGGAGGAGGAGGCGGAGGAGAAGGCGGAGGAGGAGAGCTCGGCCCGCCGCCGATCCTCCCACCCCGCCCCGGGGGGGGCACCCAGACTGGAGGCATCCCAGAGGGGGTCGGAGCAGGTGGGGTCGGAGGATCGCGCCGCATCGCCGATGCATCGACGATGCGGCTCGATGTGGAGCCCGATTTGCTTGACGTCGACGTCGCCGATGCATCGCCGACGTCGACGATGCACCGCAGGTACATCCCCGATGCATCAGCGACGTCGACGTGGAGCAAATTGGGCTCCACATCGAACCGCATCGGCGATGCATCGGCGATGCGGGGCAATCCTCCGACCCCATCTACTCCGACCCTATCTAAGAGGCCTAGACGTAGGAGCAAGGAACGGCGACACCACTGCTGGTGTGGCTCATCCCCCTCGCGCGCGAGACATCCCCGGCCTCCAGCTCGGGGAAGCCTCGTGGACCTCCTCGCTGGAGGTGGGCCCCCTTTTCGTGTTCGTGTCGCTTCTCCCCCCTCCGGTGCACGGTTTCCCCCGGGGGCCGTAGGCGACCCGAGGAGGAGGAGGAGGAGGAGGAGGAGGAGGAGGAGGAGGAGGAGGAGGAGGAGGAGGAGGAGGAGGAGAAGGGGGGAGATGGAGAAAGAAGGAGGAGTAGGAGGAGGAGGAGGAGGAGGAGGAGGAGGAGAAGGAGGGAGGAGATGGAGAAAGGAGGAGGAGGAGGACCAGGAGGAGGAGGAGGAGGAGGAGGAGGAGGAGGAGGAGGCGGAGGCGGAGGAGGCGGAGGAGGGGTCGCCGAAGCCCTTCGGAGAAACCCTCCATCGCCACGGGCGCCGCCCGCAGCACGCGCGGGACACAGCGGCCACGGGCGCCGCCCGCGGCGCCGCCCTGCGGGCACCCCGGGGGGCGACGGGGCCAGGAGGCCCTCGTCCTCGGGCCGTCTGCCGCTCGCCTGCGGCACACCGGTCGGGCGTGCCGCTGCACCTCCGCGCAGTGCCCTGCCCAGGAGGCCCCTGGGCGCCGAAAATCCCACCAGCCTTGGGTGGGGCAGGGGAACCCTCTTCCCTATTCCCTTCGGGGGGGGAGACGACCCCTATTCCCTTCGGGGGGGGGGGGGGGAGCCCTCCCCCACAACCCCCTGAGGTTTCTTTGGAGGGATCGCGAGGTGTCGGAGGCTCGTTCTTCGGCCACTGGGAAAGCCATGTTTTGCCACCCCTCACGAGGACCCTGGCCCCCGAGGGACGCCCCTGGGCTCCGAAAATTGTGACAAACCTCCCGACGCGCTTCGTGAGCCTCTCGAAACTCTCGGGGGTTCTGGCTCCTCCCTCCTCCATCGCCTCCTCCCTCTGTTCGGTGCATCGCCTCTTGTTCCGACTGGGTTAGAGCATCTGCAGCTGCCGCAGCTCTGCCCTGTGTCCGATGCAGGCCCATTGCGCCAGAGCCTTCCGAGACATGTCATGACTCCTGCTTGCTGTCCTGCTACAGCCTCCTGCTGTGGCTCGTGGCCACGGGCAACAAGGCGCTGAGACCACATCAGTCAAGGAATCGCAAATGGTGGGCGTGTTTTCAGCCACCACCACCACCACCACCACCATAAGTAGGAAGGGGAGGGGGTCCTCCTCCTCCTCCTCCTCCTCCTCTTCTTATTCCTCCTCCTCCTCCTCCTCCTCCACCTCCCTCCCCCCTCCAACTTTTGGTGGTGGTGGTGGAAAACGGGCCCATCAGCAAGAGCATGGATGAGCGAAGCGTCGCTTAGCGACGGGTCGCGCTCCCGTGCAGAACCGGCGCGCTCCGTCGCCAAATCGGGCGGCACTGGCCTCGCGTTCCGGAGGGACCCTCCCCGCTCCATGGGTCTGGCGCCGACGCGCGAGACCCACGGAGTCCCTACGGTACGGGCATGTGTTCAACTCTTCGCAGGCGCTCGGGCGCCCTGGCCAAATTCGAACATGCTGGGCGCGGGCGGGACCTCCAGGGGCAAGCACCTCACGGTAATTACGGGCATTGGATAAGGAACCCTTGGATAAGGGATCCAGGCTCTGGAAGCCAGGGGAACGCCAATTGAGTCTGTGTCACGGACAGCGTTGCCGCCCTCATTAGAGAAGGAATCCTCCAGGGTCTGAAGCCTCCATTGCACTTTCCTCAACGAACGCCCCCACCGCAGCCCATGTTTACAAAGCAGAAGAAACACCCACATAATCATCACCCGGACAATTCGAGGCGTCTAGCAAACGCACCCAAAGAAGGCATTGAACAGGGCAGGGCTGTGCAGTCAACGCACACGGCGCTTGAGTAAACGCCAATTCTGGGGGTCGGGGCGGTTTTTCCTCCCTCGGAATGTCAGCGCCTCAACTGCCCCAAAACGCAACACACACAACCCGTAGCATGTTGACACGGAGCTCCAAACGTAGACTGAAAACGTAGGTTAGGTCTGGCGCGACACGTTCGCCAAAACGTGGGCCAGCACGTTGACCCAACCTTGCCGCCGCTCGGGCGCCCATCTCCCGTGCACGTCTCGGTTTCGCGCGTGCTTGCTTTTTGTTTGGCTCGATGATCCAGGATCCTCCTCGCTGGTCCTGGCCGATAAAAAAAAGCAGCGCACGTCCGATGTCCAGCAGCACGCAGCGTGCTCACACGGGCGTGTTGAGCACGGCACGTGCTGCGCCTCGCGACGAGCGCCTCGGGGCTGCTGGGGCCCGCGCGTGCTCGAAGGAGCAGCGCCCCGAGCAGCGCCCCGCGGCGAGCAGGCCACTCCGCCCCCGCGGCGGGCCCCCGAGGCGGGTCGGAGGCGCGGCGTCCTCCCCGTGCGTGGCGTTCTCCCCGGAGATTTGGAACAGGGGCGTGCCCCGGTCGGCCTGCGCCACGGAGGAGAGAGAGAGAGAGAGAGAAAGCTGAGTGCAAAGCACATGAGCACACACGCCGAGGCATCACAGGGCGTCGCAATACCGATTCACGGCTGCGCGCCAGGCTGCGGCAGAGATTGCGCTATCATGCCAAAGCTGCGGCAAGGCCTCCTCGCCCCCCGCGGCCCGGACAGCGTGGGCAAGGACATAAACAAGGAGCTGGAAGAGCTATCCGTCCAGCTTCCTCCGCCACATCCGTGGGCCAGGACAGCGTGCCCACGGAGGGGAACAACAAACAGAAGCACAGCAATCTGTCAAGGGAAGGTGCTATGCCTAATGTGATCCCAAAAATGCGCCACAGAGGGGAGGGAAGCAGAGGAAGAAACAAGACGCCATAAACATGCACTTTTGGTGCCCCGCGCGGATTTCTTGTATCCGCGCTGGGCCCCCCCTGGCGGGTCCAGCGCAGATCCAAGAAGTCCGCGCGGAGCGCCCGAACTTTATGATTATGGCGTTTTTCTTGTTCGCGGGCGGGGATCCTCCTTCTCCCGGCGGTGATGTTTCGTAACGTCAGCACCAGTGAACAAAAACACCATCACCTTCAAATCAGAGGCTCGATGAGGGCAGCGGCTGCAACGAGGGCGACTGAGCAAGCATTCGCTGCTGCTGGTTGGGAAGGCCAGCTCTGGGCGCGTGGGCGATCACGCGACGCCGTACAGAGTTGAAAGACAACGCGAATTAGGCTTAGGTCGGGCGTGTCCTCCTACAGGGGGATTTTGGACGAACGATTAAAAGTAGTCCAAAACATACACACCAAAACTGTATGTCAAACATCGTCGGAAAATCGTCCCCCGACTATCTTTTCTATTATGTTTTAAATTTTCCCTCTGTAGGACATGCCCGACTCCAGATCAGGCTGACGAATATGATACAGCACGCTGCCGGCCTGACTGGCTGGCTGGCAGGGGGCATCTGGAAGGAGAAGGTCTCCTCAGAGGCGGCGGGGCTTCTGGGACGCCCTCTGGCCTTCTGAGAAGTTTTCTGTGCATTTGGGAAGACTTCGAAAACGTCTCAGAAGGCCAGAAGGCTTCCGAGTCCTCTGAGAAGGCCCATCCCTTCTCACTTACGCCCCGGGCGCGCCGCCGAACGGAGGAGGGGAGGGAATCCTCTCTCCTCCCCCCCATTTGGTGAGAGCGGCAATGAACATCTATGGTTTGTTGGTTGGGTCAGGCTGCCGTGATGCCTGGATCGGAAACCTCGCGCATGGAGACCACGCACAAGCGCCTTCCCCCCGTCTAGGGGCCTCCCAGATGGGATATGGTTAGGTGGGGGCGGCGAATCGCGCCGCATCGCAAATGCACCGCCGATGCATCGGCGATGCATCGGCGACGTCGGCGATGCATCGGCGTCATCGGCATGGAGAATCTCGGACTCCACATCGAGCCGCATCGCTGATGCGTCGGCGATGCGGCGCGATCCTCCGACCCTATCTACTCGGACCCTATCTGGGAGGCCTCGACCTTCTCCACCACCACCACCTCCCTCGTCTCCCTCCGTGCTCCTCATGTAAGTACCTCCTCCCGCCGTCGCACCACCAAACGTGTCCGCAGGCCAGTATTGGCGTTCCGCTCGAACGTACATTGGATGCTGAAACCCAGTACAACATTCAATACTTCATGAATCCAAGTATAGCCCCCCAGAAAATCCAGCCCCCGAATGTCCCCCTAGCGACCTCAGAGAGCCCAAGATGAACTCCAAGATGGCTCAAGATAGTCCAAGCTGGCTCTAAATGGTCCCAAGATGCCCCAAGAAGCCCCAAGACCGCTCCAAGGCGGCTCGAGATGGCCACGGAGCCTCCCAAGCCTCCCTCGCCGTTTGACTATGCGTGTCTCTTCCTCTCGCCCCCCGTCAGCTCTCATGGGCATCGTCTCTGGATGGGCCGGTGGGGATCCTTGTTGGTATGCGGGCGCGCGAAGCGGGCCGAACGCCGGGCAAGCAGGGGCAGGCCGTGCCACCTGCGAAGGGAAAGACGGAGCTGCGAGCAACGGCTGGTGGGGTTACTAGGGGCCCACATGCGAACCCGAGCGAAGTGAACCCCGAGCGAAGTGAGCCCCACCCTCCCCCTCAGAAATCGTGGGGGGTAGAGGGGTAGGGCTCGCATGTGGCCCCCTGGATGCGCGAAGCGTCACGAACTGGGAGGCTCCGCCGGGGCTTCGTCCGGTGGGCGGCCCGTGGGCGCCTCGCGAGCGCCCCCCCACCGGCCCCCGGGCGCCGCCTGGGCCTGCCGAGGCTCTGTCCCGTGGACGGCCGTGGGCGCCCCGTGGGCGCACCTCGTGCGCGGGCCGGGCCGCCTGGAGAGGCCTCGCCCGGCGGGCGGCTGTGGGCGCCTCGGGGGCGCCCCCGTGTGGGGAGTGTCTTCTCACACTCGGCCAGGGAGAGCCCCGGGGGGAGTGCGCGGTGAGGATGTCTCCCGTGCGGAGCGCCGCAGAATGCCGAAGAGTGCCGAATACCGAAGGGGCAAGGATGCGAGGGTAGCCTCGGAAAGTTGCCCCATCCTTACTATCATGGTTGACTCTATTCGGCGTTTCTGCATTGAGCGACGGGCCAGAGGGTTCCAAAGACGGTTTTTGGGGAGGGGGTTTTCCAGGAGGGGTCCCCCAGGGGCGTCGCACCCCTTGTTTTGACGAGGTTTCGAGGCCCCTGGGGGGCCTCTGGAAAACACTCTCCCCCAAAAACCCCTTTGGAACCCTCCAGGCAGGGGGGGGGGGAGGGGAGTCTAGCTCCGGACCTCTGCTCAGTGCGATTGGTTGGGACCGTGCGTCCTTTGGGGGAGGCTCCACCTGCCCGAAACAGGCGCCAAGAAACAGCCAGGATCTACTACATAGGGGGGGGGGTGCGCGGGCCCGCGCCTATCGGCAAAACAATGAATCCCACCAGCCCTCTAGGCGCAGGTGGTCCAACGAGATTCCTGTTCCCTCTTCCAAAAAACCCCTCTTCCCCTACGGTGAAGGGTTTAATCACTGCTCACTATTAATAAACACCCCCTCCCCCAGGCGACTGGGGGCCAACCCAGGTCCATGACAACACCCCCCACAATCCCTTGTAAAAAAACAATACAAAACACACTCTGCCTCCAAATTCGGAACATGCGCAGCCAACCCGATGCGCCCCCCCCCACCATCTCTGTCAAAAAACAATACAGAGTACACTTGGCGGAGGCGGCGGCGGCTGCGGCGGCGGCGGCGGCGGCGGCGGCGGCTGCGGCGGCTGCGGCGGTGGCGGCGGCGGTGGCGGCGGCGGTGGCGGCGGCGGCGGTGGCGGTAGCGGCAGCGGCTGCGGCGGCGGTGGCGGCGGCAGCGGCGGCAGCGGCGGCGGCGGCGGCGGCGGAGGCGGCGGAGGTGGCGGCGGCGGATTGGCCCCCAGTAGCTACCCATCCAAAGACGACTGCTGAATATGCTGAGGCTCGGGCCAGACTCGGGTGCTACGTATGTGTTGGGAGGGCGGGTGGGAATGAGCGAGACGGCTTGCGGGCGGGGAGGGGGTCTTGACCCCTCCCCTTACCCCTCCCCTGGACTTGTTTGAGGGGTTTCGCAAGGTGTCAGGGCGTTCAAAACGGCCTCGGCGAGGAAGCCAAACTTATTGGTTTTACTAGGGTTGCTCTATTTTGGCCTCTTTGGGGGGACTGAACTTTATCCCACCAGTCCTCTGGGCGCCCAAATCGTAGGTTTTACTAAGGTTTTGGCCCCATGTTTGCCTCTTTGGGGGGGGCTGAACGTTATCCCACCAGCCCTCTGGGCGCCCAAATCATTGGTTTTACTAAGGTATTCATCTCCTCCTTTGATCGATGGCCTCCAAGATGGCCCCAAGAGGCCTTCCAGGGCTCTCAAGAGGCCCCAAGAGCCCCAAGAGGGCCCAAGACCCTTAAAAGAACCCCAAAAGAGCTTCAATACCCTACCAAAGAGCCCCAGGAGAGCTCCAAGAGGCGATGTTGAGGGCTCCTGGGAGGGGGCCGAAATCGAGGACACCCCATCTGTTGATCGATGCTCTCCTAGATGGCCCCAACAGGCCTTCCAGGGCACCAGCCGCAGCACCAGCAGAGGCAGCAACAACATCAGCAGCACAAGCAGCAGCAGCAGCACCAGGGATCACTCTCTTTGGATCCCTCCACCACCTCCTCCTCTTCCTCCTCCCCTCCCCTCGCCCCCACGCGGCCCCGAGGGATGGCCCGAAGAGGCCTACCAAGGCCACCCCCTTGCTCCCAGAGATCTCTCGGTTCATCCTGGTTGCTCGCTTTGTTTCCCTAGATGTGTCCCTTCGTCCCATTTCCCGTCAGCTCTCGTGGGCAAGGCTTCTGAATGGGCTGGTGAGGATACTTTTTGATCGCAAGCGCACCGGAAGACGCCGGGCGCCGTCAGAATGAAGCGTCAATGCAACGCTGGTGGGGATACTTTTTTGTTCGCGACCGATACGGAACGACCGCACGCCGTCAGAAGATCGCAAAGCAGCATGCCACGATCTCAAATAGGGCGCGCTCACAGGCGAACTGCGCAACGACTGGTGCGGATACGCGAAGCGTGAATAATGAAAAACGGTCACGTGTTGTGCAGGTCTGCCGATGTTTCGCCTGGTGGGCTGCTACCGCGGGCGCCTCGTGGGCGCCTCGCGCTGCTTGCATTACATCGCGTGCGTTCCGTAGCGTATGTAGCTCTGCTTATAGCTCCTGCCTGACACAGCATCGCGTGCACCTCATGGCTTACGCAGCTTTACACTGCACCCAGCTTGCAGCGCAGAGCTTGCAACATCATGGATGCACCACACAACACATGGCTGCACCATACATAGATTGCATCACATTGCTTTGCAACACGGATCATTCGAGCCATACAGTTCGCACGCTGAGAGTATAAGAATCCAAGATGCCAAACACGTGCTATCCTGAACCAGAAAAATTCAATCGACTGCACGGGTGTGGGACCAGCCGTTTTCAACAAGCGGCTCTCGCCATCGCGCCGCCCACATGAAAAAATGCGGCTCTCGCCGCCGCGCCGCGTGCATTATTAGTTGGTTTCACCTTCCAACAGCTACATGGATGGAGGGCCGCGGGCTTTCAAAATGCGGCTCTCACCTTAACGCCGTGCGCATGCGTAAAACAACTGGTCTCGCTTGGCGCCGATCACATCAACAGCTTAAACTGTCCAGGAGGAACAAGGATGAAGGGCCTGTGTCTTCAAAATGCGACTCGCCATGGCACCACACGCATTCGTTCCACAAGAACCCCCTTCCAGGGAAAGAGGCACAAGTGCTGTGTTCATGCGGCTCTCGCTTGAATCGTCCTCAGATCATAAGTTCCGATGTTACAGAACAGGTGTGCAGCAGTGACACAGATGTAGGGCGGCTCCTGTTCAAAATGACGTCCTGGGTCGATATACATGGGCCAAGAGAGATAGGCGATGAGGGGAAACTCCCTCCTTATCCGCCCCCGTGCCTACACGGACTGGGCGTGTTAGAATGCTCGGTTGTTGCATGGGAGGCTTGCAAGTGTATTCCAAGGCCCCCCCCCATTGGCCCCCGCGCGGCGTCCGCGCACCATCCCTCTTGAACATGCTCACTGGCGCTCTCTTCGGCCTCCAGACGGCCAAGATGGCCTCCAAGACGACTTCCAAAGCGGCAGATGACACCCAGACGGCCCAAGATGGCCCAAAACGGCTCAAAAGGCTCCCAAAACAGGCCACAGGTCGGGAAGACGCCTCAAGAGGGGTCCAAGAGGCCCTCCAGGAGAGCCCGAGGAGGCGAAAACCAGTGATCGTCGTAAGGGTGTTTTTGAAACATTTGAGGTTCTCGCCTGTTTGAGCGTGTGACCGCCCAAGATGGCCAAAGAGGCCTCCAAGACAGCTCTAAGACGGCTCAACAGGCTCCCAAAGGAGGCCCCGAGTCGGCTAAATAAGACCCCAAGATCGCCTAAGAGCCTTGCAAAGCAGCCCTGACGCGCTCCCAGAGGGCAACCCAGGCGGCCCAGAGAGGCCGCCACGACGTCAGACGGCCGAAGAGCCCCCTAAGACGGCCCACGAGGCCCCAACAGGCGCCCAAGAGCACCCAAGGAGGACCCCAAGAGGCCCCCAAGAGGCCCCCTGGAGGCACCAAGGAAGCCTCAAGAGAGTCCTTCAGAGACCTCCTCCTCCTCCTCCTCCTCCTCCTCCCTGTCTTCATTTTCTCTCTCCTCCTCCTCATCCTCCTCCTCATCCTCCTCCTTCTCCTCCCCACCGCGGGAACGAAGATGAGGTGATGAGGTCTAGTTCACGACCCGCCTCGGTGCGGACCGCTCGCTGACGTGCAGCGGGGCGTGAACTCGCCCTCCCCCTCTGCCGCGCGGACTAAGACTAGGTCGCGTTCGCGACCCGTCCCAATTTAGACCAATCGTCGGGATTGCGCTGTTCCTACACACGATCTCCGTCCAACTGCGCTCTTGCACAAATCTGGTGGCGGGGTTTGCTGCAGGCAACTGTTTTTTTTTTTCGGCCACAGCGTACGTCGTCGAAGAGGAGAAAGAAGAGGGGGATCCTCATCGGCCCGTCCTCCATGGATCCCGTGAGGTCCCCGGAGGCCTCCAGAACGAGGCATCTGGAGGCACCAAACGGGCAGCGTTAGTTGTCAAACCTCGACAGAGGAGGCGGGACAGATAATCCTAGCAGAAGTAACTTCTGGAAGGAAGAGGAGGAAGAGGATGCGGAAGAGAAGGAAGAGACGCACGACGAGGAGGGGCAAGGTGGGGGGGGGGGGCAGACAGTGAAGAGGAGGAAGCGGGGAGAAGATGGAAAGGCAACAGGGGGCAGGGCTCCATCCAATCGGACCTGGGACCAACACTGGCGGTGGCGGTGGCTGTTGGAGCCTGAAGATCGGGACCTGCCAGACCCCGAACGCGACAGAACACGCGCACGGCAGTCTCGTGCCGTGGCGGCGCGGGCTCTGGGCTCTGTCACCCCGTGGAGTCGTCCCGCCCCGAACGATCTCCCCCGTCGGAGAGTCCCGACGGGCCGCCCGAGGGCATCCGGCCTCGCACGCCCGCGCCGATACGCCGCCGCCCCGCCGAGATACGCCACGCGCCCGTCGAGTGGCGCGAGAGGCGGGGCACGCCCTCGCGAGGGCGCGGTGGAGGCACGTCGTACTCGAGCTTGTAGGAGTAGAACTTGTCGCCCAGGCCAAACTTGTTCCACCAAGCGCCTGGGCGCGCGGGGGGCCGCGGGCTCTGTGCGCGCGAGCGCCGGCGGCATGCCGGCTGCCAGAAACGAGTTCGTCGTCGTCGCCGTGGTCGCCCTCGTCGTCCTCCTCGTCGGCGTCGTCCTCGTCGAAGTCGTCGCCGCCAGCAATGCACATCTCGCCCCCCTGGCCACAGGGCTGGCCAACTTAATCGATGACCATTGCTGACACCAACCTGTGCCAGCTGTCGTCGTCGCCCTTGTCCTTATTCTTCTCATTGCAATTACGATGATGTATATTATTTTTCGCATTCGAAATCGTAGTACTATTGTTACTAGTCGCTCGAGGCCACGATCCCTCGTAAGAAGCTATGGTTCCACGCTCCCGAGGCTACGATCCCTCGTAAAACAACGATGGATCCGTGCTCCGAGCTTCCGAGATGACCCATGCAGACAACCACCAAGGACACCAGGATGGCCCAATTTGTCTCGAAGACGGCCCAAGATGGCCCTACGACGGCCCAAGATGGCCTCAAGACAGACCTTCAACAGGGTCCGACGAAACAAATGTGAACACTTTCTTTTTCGGCGTTTCGACATTGAGCGACAGGGGGGTGAGGGGGGGGGTCTGGCTCCGGACCTCTGCTTAATGCGACTGTTTGCAGCAGTGCGATCTTTGGGAAAGACTCTACCTGCTCGAAACAGGCCCCCCAAACAGCCAAGATCTACTCCACGGAAGGGGATAGGGGGGGGGTGCGAGGGCCCGCGCCGATCGGCAAAACAGTGAATAAGAAAGCGATTACAAATTCATTGATGTCCCTTGGGTGTTCGAAAAGTTGTTGCATTCTCGCCTTTTCCGGCTTCCGTCAGCTCAAGACTCAAGACGGTCCAAGAAGGCTCCGCGATGGCCCGAAGACGGCCCAGGAGGCATCCAAGACGGGCCCAAGACGGCCAGAGACAGCCTGCCGTGGGACCCAAGACGGCCCAGGAAGGCCTGCCGACGACCCAGTGCAGCCCCTCGACACCCACCATATGGCCAGGGGCCCCAAGACTGCCCAAGTGAGCCCCAAGAAAGCGTAAGCGGACCCCAAGGGACCCCCAAGACTGCCTCACAAGAGGCCAATTCAGCCTCATGACGGCCCAAGCGAGTTCCCTGTGAGCTCTTCAATTGTGAGGGCCTTCACCTTCCTCCTCCTCCTCCTCATCCTCCTCCTCCTCCTCATCCTCCGCCTACCCCTCGTCATCATTATCACCACCACCATGCTCGTCCTCATCGTAAGCCTCCTCCTCCTCCTCCTCCTCCTCCTCCTCCTCCTCCTCCTCCTGCACATCGGCATGACCGTCATCGATCCAACTCGTCGGCTTCCTCATCATCACCATCACCATCACGATCGTCAGCACCAACAACATCAGCATCATCATCCTCATCCTCACCATCATCAGATAACCACCATCACCGTGACCATCACCAGCATCAGCAGCATCACTATCATCATCCACTTCCTGCCCCACTCATCATCATAATCATCATCGCCAACGACAGCAGCACCATCGCCATCATCATCATCACCAACGTCGCCGACGTTGTCGTCGGCGTCGTCATGGTCGTGGTGCGTGTTGCTCTGCTCGGGAGTTGTTTCCCTAAGGCAATGACCGCCCACTTGGATTGCCAGGCATTGCACGCCGCCTGGCTTTGTGCTTGTCCGTCCGTTTGTCTGTCTGTCTGTCTGTCTGTCTGTCTGTCTGTCTGTCTGTCTGTCTGTCTTCCCGGCTCTCTGAACCGCGGCGCTTTAAGCTTCTTGGCTCAGGGACGCGTCGGCCACCGCCGCCCTCTCCCTTGTCGGTGGCCCTGACGAGGCTGGGTGACAGGGTGCCGAGACGCGCCCAGAATCCAGCAAGGCATGAGGGTGCAAACCCGACTGGTCTGGCTGATGCTCCGGGGGAACCTGTGCGCAGGGGAAGCTGCAGCACCGCTCAACGATGTGCTGTTTAACCGAACCTGCAGGGTAGGCCCTTTCCCGAATCCGTGCTTCGGTGCGGATCGTCTACGCGCCTCGTTTCCGTCGTCGTCGTCGTCGTTGTCGTCGGCGTCGTCATGGTCGTGGTGCGTGTTGCTCTGCTCGGGAGTTGTTTCCCTAAGGCAATGACCACCCACTTGGATTGCCAGGCGTTGCACGCCGTCTGGCTTTCTGTTTGACCAGCCGTTTGTTTGTCAGTCTGTCTGTCTTCCCGGCTCTCTGAGCCGCGCGGCTTGAGCTTCTTAGCTCAGGGACGCGTCCGCCACCGCCGCCCGCTCCCTTGTCGGTGGCGTTGACGATGTTGGGTGAGAGGGTGCCGAAACGCGCCCAGGAGTTCAGCAAGGCACGAGGGTGCAAACCCGACTTGTCTGGCTGATGATATGGGGGGGCCTGTGCTCAGGGGGGGCTGCAGCACCGCTTAAGGATGCGCTGCTCAACCGAACCTGCAGGGTGGGCCCCTGCCCGAATCCGTGCTTCGGTGCGGATCGTCTGCGCGCCTCGTTTCCGTCGTCGTCGTCGTTGCCGTCGGCGTCGTCATGGTCGTGGTGCGTGTTGCTCTGCTCGGGAGTTGTTTCCCTAACGCAATGACCACCCATTTGGATTGCCAGGCGTTGCACGCCGTCTGGCTTTCCGTTTGTCCGTCCGTGTGTCTGTCTGTCTGTCTGTCGTCCCGGCTTTCTGAGCTGCGGCGGCTTGAGCTTCTTAGCTCAGGGACGCGTCGGCCACCGCCGCCCTCTCCCTTGTTGGTGGCCCTGGCGAGGCTGGGTGAGAGGGTGCCGAAACGCGCCCAGGAGTTCAGCAAGGCATGGGGGTGCAAACCCGACTTGTCTGGCCGATGCTCTGGGGGAGCCTGTGCTCAGGGGGGGCTGCAGCACCGCTTAAGGATGCGCTGCTCAACCGAACCTGCAGGGTGGGCCCCTGCCCGAATCCGTGCTTCGGTGCGGATCGTCTGCGCGCCTCGTTTCCGTCGTCGTCGTCGTTGTCGTCGGCGTCGTCATGGTCGTGATGCGTGTTGCTCTTCTCGGAAGTTGTTTCCCTAAGGCAATGACCACCCACTTGGATTGCAAGGCGTTGCACGCCGTCAGGCTTCCCGTTTGTCCGTCCGTGTGTCTGTCTGTCTGTCGTCCCGGATCTCTGAGCCGCGGCGGCTTGAGCTTCTTAGCTCAGGGACGCGTCGGCCTCCGCCGCCCTCTCCCTTGTCGGTGGCCCTGACGATGCTGGGTGAGAGGGTGCCGACACGCGCCCAGGAGTCCAGCAAGGCACGAGGGTGCAAACCCGACTTGTCTGGCTGATGCTCTGGGGGAGCCTGTGCTCAGGGGAGGCTGCAGCACCGCTCAACGATGTGCTGCAAAATCAAACCTGCAGGGTGCGCCCCTGCCCGAATCCGTGCTTATGTGCGGATCGTCTGCGCGCCTCGTTTCCGTCGTCGTCGTCGTCGTTGTCGTCGGCGTCGTCATGGTCGTGGTGCGTGTTGCTCTGCTCGAGGGTTGTTTGCTTAATGCAGTGACCACAACCACCCACAATCATCATCCGCACCAGCATCATCAACGTCGCCGTCGTCGTCGTCGGCATCCTCATCCAATCTCCTTCTCCTCCTCCTCCTCCTCCTCCTCCTCCTCCTCCCCATCATCATTACCATCAGCATCATCATCATCAACAACATCACCATCGTCGTCATCATCATACTCATCATCATCGTCACCATCACCAGCATCAACTTCATCGTCGTCCCAATCACCACCACCACTACCACCACCACCACACCAACCAGCAGCAGCACCGATAACATTATCATCATCATCACCATCATCATCAACAATAACACCACCAACACCAACAACACCAACCACAACACAAGCAACACTGGCAACAACAAAATCACCACCGCCACCAACAACAACAACCGCCACAACCACAACCACAACAATCACATCATATCTTCATGACGGCTTTCCAACAGCTAGAGACACGATGTGTCACCAGAGTCGGCTTCCCGTACCCCCTAGAACAGTCGCCACTAAGAACGACCAGCTGGCACGGTGGCGAGAATTAGACCAGGTAGCTGCTTGTGTATATCCTTTCCCGATCGCAGGATAACTACTTGTTTTAGTGGTCGTATTGTGGTTCACCATCGTCTGATTGCTAGTGCTTTTAGCTGCAACACCATTAGTTACCAGTTCGCATTATTAACACTACAATTTCTAACAGAAGCAGTGGTCGAGCGAAGACTGGTCGCGCACAAGACGACGTGCGCAGGAGAACGAAGCAAGAGAACGCGAATCGACGCCCAGAGTCCGACACACGAGCCCACACAAGACATCCCGCACAAAACCTCGCACATGACCTCTAGGACCACTACTTCTGTTAAAATCGTAGCATCCGTCTTTTTACTGGCCGTAGCAATGCAGATCTGAAATCTACTCCCCAATGGCGCTTGCTTCGTGGGCGTGCGGGCATGCCTTGCCCAAGTTCCCCGCGTTCCCTGCTCGCGTTCCCACATCAAACTTCCCTCAAAACATGTTACTTCAAAACTGCCTGTGAGAGGTCCAGCCAGACCTCCAAACGACTCCCCAAATGCCCACAAACATTCCAACATAATCCTAAAAAGCCCACAACGCCTCCACCGTGGACTCCACCCTTCTTCTGGGGCTCGGCGGAGTGGCGCAAGCCCCTTGAAATAGCAAGAGTAAGCTGATAACACAGCTTGAAGACGATCAGAAAACAACACACATCTCAAACAGGTTAAAGAGACAAAAACATGATGAGACCACCACATTGTTAAACAAAACCATTTTTGACCCTTGCCCCCCCCCCCCCCCCCTGGGGCTCGGCAAGACGTGTCATAATGCGCTTTGCAAGTCCGCGCAGACTGCTCTCCACAAAACCAAATACGAGAGTACGGCAGGTTCGTGTCGTGCCGACTTCGGCACATGGGTTTCTGACACCGCGGGGATCATTCAACCTTGAACGATCGGCCGTTTCCGAAACGTCAGATCGCTCAACATCGGCCGATTCTGGCTCGCTGGCGGCGTTCAACGTGGAAAGCCAACGGCAAGGTCGCCGCCTGTCGACACGACGCGAACCTACCCTACGTGTCCTCACGTTCTTAGCAGTCCTGTGCAGACTGTCCTCCATAAACCCAGTACGAGAGCACTCTGCAGTGCCCAAAGCGATGTCAGAACCATCCGGGCGGGCGGCCACCCGTCGTCCACTGCTCAAATTTAGGTGCACTGAAATCCGCCGACCCTGTCGGCGTGTGTTCGGGGCTTTTCCGTTCGAGTCGGGCTTGTCCGTTGGAGTCGTCGTCTCCGTCCTCCTCTATTCCATTTGCCTGGGCCCTCTTCCTCATTCGCGCCGCCCAAAATAAAATTGAACAACATCCTAGTGTAATCGAAGGGACACCCCTTCCCTTTGATCCCTTCCCCGCGCTGGGGGGGGGGGGGGGGCGCCACCCAAATGCGCTTTCCCCCCGCGCCCCGACCCCCGCTCCGGCCCCGGCCCCAGCCCCCCCTCCGGCCCCAGCCCTGGACCCGGACATGGCCATGGGGGGCTGCAGCCCGGGTCCCGGCCCCGGCGCCCCGGCCCCGGCCCTGGCCCCTGGCCCCCGGCCCCAGCCCCGGCCGTGGCCCCAGCCCCAGCCTCGGCCCCGGCCATGGCCCTTGCCCTGGCCCCAGCCGCGGCCCCAGCCCCAACAGAGCCCAAGAGGCACCCACCAGGCTGGCCCAAGAGAGCCCCAAGAAAGGCTCCAGAGCATCAGCGTCGTCGTCGTCGCCGCTGCCGCTGTAGTTCAACGAACTGACCGTAGTGGCTGTGCGCCGAGCCGCCCGTCAGATGATCAGTGGTCCATCCACAAACAAACTGGACGGTCGAGATGAGATCGGGAACCACAACCTGCGATGGAGTCTGACTGGTCTGATTCAACACTGATGCAACAAGCGGATATGGATATGTGGATGGATAGCACGCTCATCGAAGCGGTGGTCGAATCCAAACTTGAAAGCCAAAGAAAATGGAAGACGAAAACATGTATGAACAAAGAAGAGCACGCCAGAACGCCTCCCGGAGCGATGGCGTCGGAGGTGAAGTTGTCCCCCAGCAAAGAGTGGAAAAACAGCGGAGTCTTGGCGGGCGCCTTGCCAGAGCGGCATGAGCCTCTCGATCCGACTCCAGCCTCTCGTCTCTCATTCTCTTGCACCCGCCTCCGGCTCCTCGGCACCATGAAATTCGCCCACCCTGTCGGCGTGTGCGAGGGGAGTCCTCCGGTGTTCGCCCCACGGAGATCCTGGGAGACGCTTCTCCATTCGAAACTCTGCCCGCTTTGCCTGCGGCCACCTGGGGCACTCCGAGCTCGCCAATCCGAAATGAGTCGGTCGGCCCATTGGGAGCACCTTCCCTGCGACCACTTCTCCGCCAAGGGGGGTGGTCCTGAGAGCTGGTCCTGAGGGGGCTAGGGGGGTCCCGGGTGGGTTAGCCCTGCTCTCTCCGCCTCACCGGAGTGACTCGGGTGTTCCTGGGCCCAGCTTGGACATCACTTGGCCACCTAGGCCCACACTAAGCCCCTGTCGGGGCCAACCTTGACAGCCTTTTGCGCTCGTGGGAGTCTCTCGGGCCATCTTGGAGGCGTGGCTGGCCGACGAGGCCCAAATTGGCTGAATCCCATACGTTGTTGGTTTGTGATCATTACATGGATTCAACTCTCCCGCCACCTCGGGCGCAAGAGCATCTGAAACAGTTCAAGAAACCCCGAATCAACGCTCAAAGAGCCCCCAGGAGGGGCCCAATATGCCCCCAGCATGGACCTCAGAGGGGCTTGACAAGTGCGCCGCTGTCGCACTGCTGGAAGCCAACCCGTCCAACATGATCCCAAGACCCTCAGGGAGCCCCCAAGAGGCCCCACGACGCATCAAAATGCGCCACCGAGGCCCCTGCCCTGGAGCCCAAGAGCCCCAACAACTTACCCGAGGCATCTGGAACAAGACCCAAACGAAGTGGCGGGATGGGCCGAAGACCATTCTGCATTCGCCCTCGCATTTGAGTATCGTTTAACCGATCCCCATCCCCAGCGGCGTGGCCTGGGCCCCACTGACCGACTTACCCCGCTAGATGGGGATATGGGCCGTTCCCTTCCGGTTTCGAGGAGTGTATCCCCAACTGCGGGGGTAATTCGGTGGGGGCCTCGAAGGGGGTAGGGATGGGGATGGGGATCGGTTAGACGCTGGCCCCCGTCCCCTTTCCCCTTGGGCCCAGAATGTTGTCTTCTCAGGGTCGGCGAACTGACCGCACCGCCTTTCCAGTACATGTGGCGCACCAGAGAACTCATCCAGGGACCTGCGACATCCTAAAAGCCGCGCACCTCCAGAACGCGATCACAACTCGTGATTCGCATTCACCTATCGACCAGCTTCGCACAACCCTGATGACTGCAATTAATGATGAAAGCTGTGACACGGTTACATCAGAAAGTGGCGTGAGCAAGTAGGGAAAACATCGCACGCATCTCAAACTTTGTATTCCTCGCTTCGTGACCCATCGCTTGTGGCGGGAAACGTGCAAAACCAACACACTCCTCATCACTGGCCTTCAAGCGTTGCTTCCTGCTCGAACCAACACGTTAGCTGCCGATCGCCAAACGAATGTCACACACAGCGCTCCCTGCATTCGCCAAAATGAATACAACAAGACGTGCTGACACATCCGCTGTGATAGAATCGCTTGCACCTTCCCTTGGTGCACAAGGGCGTCATCCCCAAACGTCCGGATGGTGTCAAAATACCTGCCCAACGTGGCGAATTCAATCGCAGATGGTGGCATTCATGTCATGTGTGCTCCTCCTCTCCAGTTCCACCTCTCTCTCTCTCACTGGCTCACCAAGGAGGACAAATCAGGCAAGCGCTTAGGAGCGAGCAGGACTACATAGTATGGAGAATGACAGGAGTATATATATATATATAGAGAGAGAGAGGGAGAAAGAGAGAGAGAGAGAGAGAGCGTGAGGGACAAAGAGAGAGAGAGAGAGAGAGAAAAGAGAGAAATAACGAGAAATACAGCATGCTGGCATTGGAACGCTGCAGGGCTGTGATCTGGTGCCCTCTCCAAAATGGTGGGCTTCGGGCGGCTGACCAGAACGCCCCGCGCATTTAGGCTTCTGGTCCGAGCGACGAGAGCGGAGGCAGGAAGCGCGACGCCAGAACGTGGCACACCAGATCCACTCATGATGGCACTGCTCGGCAAGCGGAAGAGGATGGACCGCGGCTCCGGCAGGGGCCACGTCTTCGACCCCGTCCAGGTCGAGCTTGGGCCAAGACGGTAAAAACCTGGCGGCGAGACGAGAGACGTTATGGGCCACTTTGAGCTGCCAGTCAACGTGACTCAGCTCAGCCTCGGACCCGCGCGGATGGAGAGCAGCCCCACGATTGGCAGCCCTGTCAACCTCGTCGTTCCCCTCGTTGAGGAAACGCCGATCAAGGGTTAAATCAGGGGAGTCGGCAACGCGGGCCTTCACTTTGTGAAGGGCGGTAAGACGGGACCCAAGCGCAGTAATCATGAGTCCCGCATCGGGCCTTTTATGAGGGAGTTGCATGGCTCTCGCATGGAGAAAAGCCTTGACCGCATTGAGACAGTCGCTGCGCCCGGTGGAGGGCCCCAGGAAGCAGAGCGACCCGTAAGCAAGACTGCCAAACTCGGCCGCTTTGGGAGGTCTGGGGGAACCTGTCCCAACGGGGGGCCCTCATACTACATGTGATAGTATTGTAACTATAATGCTGAGCTATGGCGCCCTGCCCTGCTCGATTCATTAATGGCGCGGCGCCTACAGGACCCGTCGAAGAAGATCTCACATTAGCAAAGCTGCTCATCCGCCTCATCATGTCGAGGAGCTTCCCAATGGACTACTGGAGGAACCTCTGAAATAGGCCTGGGGAGGGAGTCGGACGGGTGCGCGAAAATCCCCCCGGTCGATCTCACAGCTAGTCTGCAAAACGTCTGGGTTGCAAATCTCTTTCCTGAGATCCTCGACCGCTGGACATACCCACATCCGATTCCAAAGTGAATCCGAGGGATCACCACATAAACCACAGACCTGCTGGATTTGGCACCCAAAGGAGGCAGCTTTTTCCCGGGTCCAGCACACCCCGCAAACGTTGGCTCGGATACAGCCCTTCTCGAAATACGTATATTTCGCACTCCGCAGGGTTCGAATCACGGAGTCGAAACAGCCCGCCATTGAAGTCCGAGCTTCTGTCCTGAGAGACGGCGCAAAGACCTGGCCACACCTTCGCGCAGCAACATCTTGATGAGCTGGGGGGGGGGGGGGACGGCGAGAGAGTGGGCCGCCCCGGGGTCACGCATCAGCCGCGCGAAAGAAGGCATCGACCGACCGATGCGGGACAGGGAGAGGCACATGGCGCCCATGGGTCCTCTGACCTGCTTCCAAGACTCTGGCGGGCTGGCCCAGGCTCTGTCCCAGGCAGCGCGGAGAGCGGCAAATCCGAACGCCAAAGGCGTCTGCTGCACTTGGGCGGCCCGCGTCCCCCTGGAACGCCTGGCAATCGGAGCAATGGCTGCATGGTGGAGAGGGTCGTTCTCCAAAATGAACGGACTGGTAAGGGACCTGGATCCAGCAGAGGGTTTGGCGGACTTCCCAAAGTTGGCACGCAGCAGTCCCATGTCGTAATCCGAGGCCCCAGAAACTGAAGAACCATGCGTCACGGGGGCCCGCGGTCCAGAACAGAAAACCCTCCTGGAGAAACGTCCCAAGGCCTGTCGGCACCTGACCACTCGTTGCACCCTCTGACGGAAAATGCAAAATCGTGCAGGTGCTTGCTTGCCTCGACCTTTGGTGCGACGGGCCTGCCCAGCTCCGTCGTCGACGCGTGCATTGACGGCCGCGTGAACTTGATCTCCTGGACCGCCGCAGGCGCCTAAGAATTTCTGCAGAGCGAGCCTACCCATGTGGCAAAGGAAACCACTGCAGCCTCATCAGGAGAGATACGGGATTCCATCTCGTCCTCCATGGCCAGGGCCAGGGGGGTGGAGGCCTGCTCTAACGACGACGCGACCGACTGCCCAGAGCCACTGCTGGAGAGACCGAAAAGGACAATGTAGATGTCTAGCTGGACTTGGTAAGGGAACCTCAGGGGGCCCATAGTGGGGATGACGTAGACCCTGGCGAATGATGTAGCATATGCATAAGCAGCCACCACCACGTGACACACAAACGAGGCCCGTGGAGCATACTACCCAGCTCCACGGTCGGCCTCGACAGCAACCCTGTAGATCTGCTCGGAACTAGTAAGGGCCTCGCACCTGTGGAAGAGCTTGGGCAGCCAAATGGACTCGTGGAAATTGTGGAGGCCTCAAACAAACCCACAAACAAATGGTCATTTCCCCACGGCGTTCACATGCTGAACCGATTGACGGTAGACGACGTCCAGAGCGGAGTAGTGCTCGCGGCGATGTGCGTTCTCTGATCTTTGGCCTCCCACCGCTGAGCGTAGGGTCTGCGGGCGCGAGCCCACAATCTAAAAAGCCGAGAAAGGCCCATGGGCCCACGCCCTCCTGCGGGCTTCGCAAGGAGCAGAGTGAGGATGACCTGGGCCGGGTGAGGCACGAGCCCGGCGCACTCCGTCACGTGGAACATGGTGCACGCAGCGGAGAGGGGCCGTGGCTGCATTGCAAAGAAATAGCGCACGTGTAAGCCATCCACACTAGAGGCGGCACCTGGCGCAGAGGACATATTCACATCGATCAGGTCCCCGGAACAAAATGGCCTGAGCCCTTCCAAATACTCGATTGGAAGCCCTTCGGCCTCGGGAGGATGCGACTTCGAATTCCAGAGCTTCCCAAAAAGCGCGCCCTCGGCCTGGGGCAGGGAGATGGGGCCCGAAGACCGCGCCCACCGCTGAGAGGGGTAGTCAAAGCAACCCACGGCTTCAGCTCCCTGGTCCAGCGGCGCCCATTTTGCCGCCCCTGTCCATTATTCAATCCAATAGCCAACTGAGCCAAATTTTCAATGGCCACTGCGAGGAAGACCGGACATACTCTTCTAATCCAGGTTCGAGAAGAGCCTGCAACTCGAATGCCTCCAGAAACGCAATGAAAATCCGCAAGCCCAGAAACTATTTCAAGACACTGCTGACCATGAACTCACCCAACGACTGCAAGATGCTAGAGGTCCGATCCTGAAGATGGAAACGATATCGGTTGAACGAGCTAACGTTGCTGTCGGCCATAGCCTTCAATATAAACGTGGTCGCCCGAGAGAGCCACCTAGCCGGGGGTCCCTGTAGGAGGCCTCGGGGTCCTGGTCGAGGGCTGAGGTCCACGCCCGGCGGGGTCGTCTACCCCTGGCGCCCCAGATGGATAATTCACACTCGGCCGCGACGGCCCAAATCCAATACAGAACGCCCAGGTGGCGCTGCACCTTGCCGCGAGAGGCCTTGCGGGAGATCAAGCCCATGCCAAAACTAGCGCAATCCAAGACAGCGCTGTCATCGGCAGGTTGTGGCCGCGGGCCTATAGGGCGCTGCGCGGGCAGCTTGCGGGGCTGGCGGAAAGTGGGGGCCTTGAGCTCAGCCGACTGCGGGTGGCAGAGAAGGCGGACTGGGGCGCGGGTCTTGATGCCCGTGCCGAGCACGGGCTCCGCGGCCTGCAGGCCGCCCGAGAGAATGAAGAAGTCCAGCGTCCTGACCCCCCCCCGCGCTCGTGCATATTCCCTCCTTCGCATAGATGATGTTAGCCTTGAGCCAACCTGGGACAGAGGAGGTGGCCAGAACATATGGCGTCATGTTAAAATCGCACCCGATGCAGCGAGGGTCATCATACTCACCGCGCCGCGCTCCGACCTCGGCGAGGATGCTGAGGTTCCTGATATGAGAGATCCTCGCAATCGTAAAAGCACACCGAAGTGAACAAGGCTTGGGGCGCCCCAGGGACCGACGCGACGCCGCTGGGAGCCCTGCGGGGGACGACGCCAGCATCAACATCCGGATCGTGGAGATCCAAGGTACTGCCGAACCAAAATAGCAACCCCACCATACGATCCCCCTTCCCTGATTCTGAAGGCGGGAGCGAGTCGAGCTTTCCATCCCCTCTTCAGTGCCAATTGTCCTGCTCTCGCTATCTCGTCACCGGCAACGAGCTGATGCTCCTGGACCAAGAGAACGTGCGATGTCGAGGTCGTGATCCAGGACTCCACGGAAGGCCGCGCCGTGTAATTGAAAGTTTCAACCGCCAACTGGCACGCGCATGCAGGGCAAGGAGGCACTGCAAGGAAGTTGGCTGGGTCGGAAGGAAGCGTTCCCTCCGTTGGGAGTCTGAAGAACTTGCTGGCCCTCTTGCCCAGATCAGCCGGCCCCCTTCCCGCCTATAAAGTGATGACGGGGTTCCGAAACAGAACAACGAGAGGCCCACCCTGCCGAGTGACCGCCGCGGCCAGAGCGGCCCCCTTGGCGACGCGAGCGGCGCCCTTCCGCACGCAGGCGAGCAACGCCTCCCCTGCCACCGAGTCGGCCGCTGGAGCCGCGGGCCTGGGCTTGCCTCCAGAGCCCTCAGAGGACCCCGATGCCCCAGCGTTCCCCGATGCTGGCGTCCCACCAGCAGCAGCGGCGTCAGCAGCACCAGCAGAGGCCTGGCCGTCGTTGGTCTTGCGCTTCTTCTTCGACAAGCGCGTGACCTGTACACGGTGGGCCTCCTTGGCGCCCTTGACCGTGTCGGCTGCGGACTGGGACAGCTCCTTGGCCTTGGATTGGAGCTCGGCGACCAGACCAGCCCGCCTGGCGTGAAGCTCGTTGATGTCATCCTGCTCCACCAGCAGCGTGGAGCCGTCCACGCCGAAAGTGCTCCCGAAGTCGACGTCGAAAGCGTCCACAGAGACCGCCAGCAACGCGTCCGGGGATATGGAAGGCGCAGCCGACTCTCAGGGGCCTCCCCGCTGTGCCACGTTGGCAAGCTTGGCGACCACGTCCTCGTACTTCTTATCAAGCTCGTCCAACTTGGAGTTGAGCGTGCTGACCACAGCCCGCTGCTCTTCGAGCTGCTTCTCCAGCGAGGCCACCTTGGTGATGGCAACCTGGAGCTTGCTGGCGCGCTGGACGCGCGCCCGCTGCACCTGTGCCAACTGGTCATCCACTGGAACAACTTTGGGCACCGCCTGGGCCAACTGCTTGTAGCGAGTGATGTCCGCGGCGGGCCTACCCTCCTTCGCGCAGCGCGGCCATCTGAGCCGCCTCGGCGGAAGAGAGAGATTGCGAGACGGGCCCAGGAGGAAAAGACTGCCCCGGACCGCCAAGACCGCCTTTGCCAGTCCCCTTTACGGTCTCCGTGTGGCAGCCCTTTGCCGTACCCCCTCTTCCCTTTCTTTTGCCGTAGCCGAAGAGCGCGGGGGAGAAGGGGGAGTGGGCGATCATGGCGAGCGGCGAGGAGGCCCACACGCCGCCAGGCGGCTTGGGTTCAGCGACCTCCACCCTGGCCAGCGGCGAGTAGCAGGCCTCGCACCACTTGTAGTGCAACGTGTTCTCCTTGCAACCACACACCGCGCAGGCAGCCGCCATGGGTTCGCCACCGCCTCCTGGCCATGCCCACTGTTGGGAGAAGAAGCCACCGTCGTGGGCAGGACCAAAGACCGAAGGAGGCAGCCCCAGAAAGGGGAAAGGCCGACGGCGAACAAAAAGGAGCGGGTACGGCGAGAGGAGCAGAGAAGACGAGACGACAACGAATAACAAAGACGACGATAGCAGGAGGGACCTGTCATGCATCAGGGGCCAATCCGGGGGAAGGGGAACGAAAAACAGGAAAGTGACGCGAGCGCACCACACATACGAAGGAGAAGGAAGGGACAATGATGAAGAGAGCAGATTGCGTGCCACGCATGTACGACAGCAGTTGAATGTGCATGCACATTTGACCGCATTAGTAGATTAGGGCGGCGTGCGTTCGCGATTTGCGTGATGAACTTATGCCGTCAGATCCTTGTGAAGTTGACAACCCATTTGAACAGCATCCAAGTAAGCAGAACGTAGAGCTGCATTGGTGGCCGATTGGTCAATAATGAATAACGTCTTCGAAAAACGCCTGTACACTGCAGCGCAAATCATCATCAGTAATGCCAACGTCGTCCATCGCGAGTTCAATGTCATCGGAATCGCATTGCCCTCCTCCTCCTCCTCCTTTTTCTCCTCCTCCTCCTCCTCCTCCTCCTCCTCCTCTACTCCTCCTCCTCCCTCCCTCCCTTCCTCCCTCCTCTACTCCCTCCCTCCCTCCCGTCCCCCCCCTCCCTCCCTCCCTCCCTCCCTCCTCCCCTCCCTCCCTCCCTGCCTCCCTCTCTCCCTCCCTCCCTCCCTCCCTTCTCCCTCACCCTCGCTCTCCTCCTCCTCCTCCTCCTCCTCCTCCTCCTTTTCGGCAAGCCGCAGGCGCACGCGGGCGTGAGGCAGTGAGGAGAGCCGCGGTGCTGCCCCCACCACGGCCCACGCGCGCCCTGCGAGCCGAGAGGCAGTCGACTACGTAGCTGGCGCACGGCAAGTAGCGGGATGCGGGATGGCAAGAGGGCGACGCGGCAAGACAAACAGCAGTCCTAACGTATGACCTCCTCCTCTTCCTCCTCCTGCTCCTCCTCCTCCTTCGTTTATCTACTGACCGGATCAATCCAAACCCAGGACGGTCGGGCCCTGCAAAATCCTGCGAGGTCCTGCAGGACCCTGCAGGATCCTGCGCGCTGGCCCGGCCAATCACCCCTGGCTCTGCAGGAGGCTCTGCAGGATCCCGCAAGATCTGGCACTCCTCTGACCCTTTGCACTGACCCCCGTTCGGGTGTCTAGAAGTGCCCCTGGCCCAAGGTGCCCCCAGCTTTTCGTTGCATTTTGGAGCCTCTGGGGCCCTCTGGGCCTCGTGAGGGGTCCCCTGGAGGCCGTCTGGGCCGCCCCGAGAATCCTGGGGGTGCCTTGGGCCAGGGGTACTTTCTGGCAGCACCAGACACGTCGCGAGGCTCCCGACTCCTCCTCGAGCTCCGCCTCCCGGGTCACGACACGACGGTGGTCGTCTTCCGCTTCGAGTGGGAGTTCAGGACGATCTCGAGCGGCTGCCCCTGGCGCATCAGACCGACCTCTCCGCGGCGACGGCGGGGGGGGAGCGGGAAGCGGAAGGGGGAGGGGAGTATCGGCGGCGAGCGAGGGGGGGAAGTGGGAATTGAGCAGGGGCCGGCCGGCCCGGCATTCCCACAGGCCTACCACGAAATGCTCTCAGAACCCAGAACTGTTCTGAGAACAATCACACATTTTCTTAGGGCATAAACCCGATGTGTTAAAAGAAGGAAGGCAGCGGCGGCAACGAGAGACACTGAAAGAGCACTCGCTGCTGCTAGCTGGGAAGACCAGCTCTGAGCGCGTGGGCGACCACGCGATGCCATACAAGGGGCGAAAAACAACACGAAATAATATGACGAGTATAATGCAGCACGCTGCCAGCCTGACTGGGCGTCAGGGGGCATCTGTGAAGGAGAAGGCCCTCTTAGAAGGCGGCGAAGCTTGTCAGAAGGCCTCGCGCCTTATGAGAGGTTTTCTGTATCTTGAACCCTCATTGCAGTCAAAGCTGATAGCAAGGCTGCGCGATAAGGATGCAAGGGCCTTGGACACCTATGCCGAGGCTTTTTTTCGAGCGCGGCGGGCCGTCGAACATGGGCAAGGATGGACTGAGGAGGCACGGATGCAAGGGGGTCCCTGGGAAGTGGGGCGGGTGGTAATGGGGGAAGGCCCGTATGGGGGGAGGACGAGGAAAACCTACCGAATGCCTCCAAAAGGGGCACTGAATGGGCCCCGTTAGGGCCCCTTTCTTCACCCCCGATTTGGGTCACCCCCCATGTTCCGCCCGAGGAAGGCTACCCATCCTTACTATCGGTGTCGAGAATGCACCACAGACAACAGTCGTTGAAGGGCAGAGCCCCTGGCACGTCAGACCGACCTTGCCGAGGAGGAGGAGGTGGAGGAGGAGGAGGAGACGGAATGAGAAGGAGAGAGAGAGCTCTGCTATGAAGGGCAACGATCGGGGGGGGGGTCAGGCCAGGGTGGGACACATCGACCTGGAATTGGCGAGACATCGCCCATACATCGGCAATAGGCCCACGATAGCGAACCCGCACCTTCCTGGGCGGGGTGGGGCCAGCAAACACCAATCGACGATCAATGGGCGATTGGGGGTCGATACATTTCCCCCTGAGCCTATCCACCCCCGCTGTCGTTGCCCCTGATGCCAGCGTCAACGGATACTCTGAATGAACAGCATCCGTTTCAAGGCTGAGGATGGGCACAAACTACCTAAATCCAAACGCGGGCTCGAAGCTGGACCCCCAACAAGAAGAATACAGGACAACCGACATCCGCTGGCCGGCTTCTGATGGGAATCCGCTTTGGACGTCCCCCATCCCCGTCTTCTCCTTCTCCCCGTTCACTGCCAGGAGAGTGCGGGGTGCCATTGATCCCACACCTTCTTCTAACTCCTCGCCATCCCTCAAGCTCCCCCCAGCTACCAATTAGTAATCCTTTCTCCCTCTGCTGTCCAATTAGTTCCCCTCATTCCTCTGCCCCCCTCTCCTCACCTTCGCTGCTGCCAACCAATCGTGCCGCCGTATTCCGCGCCGCCTCTGGGTGAGCTAGGCACTTCCATGTATTTGTATGCACTCGTGACCAAATGTGCCCAACCAAGTTGCTGGCGTTGCCGCACCTTGTTGCTGCGTATGTCCTCAACAGCAGCGCCACTCCCGTGCTGACCAGGACTCACCCTCTCTGAAATAAAGAAGCAAGACGGGGTTGTGGCCGCCTTGAAAAACTCATGCCCCAAGTCGACGCTCATGATTTGCGCCTGAAGAAATGCGTGACGTAACTTGATTGGAACAAGCCGCGGCAAACGAGATGAAATGCAAATGATGTGGAATCTGATACAAAGCTGTTACGCACTGGCACTCAGGCCTGCTCCCTAAAACTGATACAAGATCGGCATGGAAATCTCGACCATTAGGGGCATGTGCAATTCGATCATGCCAAATTGACACTCAGCGCTTGCGAACACATACTGCTGACTACCAACTCAATGCGTCCGAACACAACCTGGCGAGCGAGCCGACAGCACGTCGTATCCGAGGGCTCTCTCGCGCGACCGTGACTTCCTGCGTGTCCCAAGCTACCATGACCGAGTACGGCCTGAAGTCGAGGACACGCAGAGCAATGATGCGACACTCATTCAGAACGCGATAACGGGGTAAGTACGCATACGGCATACGCATGGTCCAAAAAATACTCCAAACACGGTTTGAAATGCACTCGACGCCCGGGCACCACGTTCACGCTGCCCTCTTCCGCTGATGAGACGGCAATGCTGCGGCCTGGCATGTATGCAAGGTCGCGATGAAGGTGGCCAAGAAAAGACCGACCTCCCGGCGGCGCCTCTTCACTATCGTTGTATCCGTGCGTTCGGCTCACAGGATATCTCCGGATGCTTGCAGAGCGCCAGAGAGCTGCCAAACCTGCTCAGCAAACACTCGATCATCGATCTTCGAGCGTCGAGGGGCCACGAAGAAGGTCAGAGGTGCGCCGACATGGTACCGGAATGGTCGACATGTGGAGGGCAGAAACGGGGAGGGGAGGAGGGAGGGAGGCGGGGCAGGAGAGATGAGGCGCGCGGGGCGCTGTCTCTTCAAAACGAAGACCCAACATCACAGGATGGCTGGGGAAAGCTCGATCCTCGACCCTCGAGCGTCGAGGAGGTGAGATGTGAGGAGCGGGGAGTCGGCGGCGACCGAGGGGGGAGCGTGAGGAGAAGGCCTCCACAGACGGCTCGGGAGTCCCACGGCCTTCCGAAGAGCTTTCTGCGCCCTCCCCGAAGACGCAAACCACTCATACCAGCAGGCGCGAGGGCCTCTGAAAAGTCCCCCCGTCTTCTGAGGGTCGTCTCCTCCTGACTTCCGCCCCTCCGCTCGCCGCCGAGGAAAAGGCGCCCTCCCGTGCAGGACGAGACCGCGGCAGGGGACGCGAAGCTACCCGTGCGAGACGGCACACCTCCACAGGCCTGGGCCGATCGCGCGCCGCCGCGTGGGACGCGCCAGCGCTGCCGCCGAGGGGGCGACGGCCGGTGCTTGCGAGGCACGCCGTGGAGGCGTCACCTGCAGTCAGAACTGGTAGTAAGGATGCGCGATGAGGACCAGGGCCGCGCTGACGGCGATGTTGGTTCACGGCGATGTTGGGAGCCTGATTTTTGTGACACCGAGCTTACGCATAACAAGTTGCAGGAAATCGCGAACCACACTTTCCCACACTTCAACTGTGCGAATGTATCGAGCGAAAACGACGCAGCGAATCGTAGGAAAGCGCGAACCACGATGTTCTACAATTGGTTAGTTGGTTTAGCCACGCACCAGTCCCGCCTGCAATGCCGAAACCTACATCGCCGTTACTTACATTGCCGTCAGCGCGTCTACGGGAGGATGCAGGCCCCTCAGACGCCTATGTCACCTGTCAAGGCTTCTGGAGCAGGGGCTGGCCATCAAAGTGGTCGAGGATGGACCGGAGGTGACGGAAGAGGCAAGGCTGCAAGGGGGTCACCCTTGGGAAGCCGATCGTCCTTACCCGACAAAGCCGACCGTGCATCACGCTGCCGCCTAGGGGTTACGCTCGGCTTGCGAGACGCGGCTCGGAGACATCACCTAGCTGCTGCCCAGCGAAAATGGAGCGCAAGAGGTGCCCTCCAAAGGTGCCGGACGGTGGGCCTCTGAGAGAGGAGGAGGAGGAGGAGGAGGAGGAGGAGGAGGGGGAGGAGGAGGAGGAGGAGGAGGAGGGGGAGGAGGAGGAGGAGGGGGCTACAACTCCTCCTGCTGACCATAGCCCTGTCGTCTTTCCGTCCTCCTGACCAAGGCCATGCTCGCCCACCCTGGGGGAGCAGGGCCTCCGACCTCCTCGTCCTGCCTCCCCCTCCTTTTTCCCACCTCCTATCTGTCCATCTCATCCTCCTTCTTCTCCTTCTTGTCCTCTCTCTCTCTGTCTCTCTCGTTATCGTTTTTTTTTCTCGCTTTATTTATCTTTGTTATATGTGTATTATCTTGTTGTTCCTGTATTTCTTTATTTCTCTCTATATATATGTGTATATATACACCCTACTACATGTTGGACATCCATTGGGGGTGCTGTGAGTGTGGGGGGGGGAGGGGGGGAGGGCGGATGTCATGCTAGCAGAAGAGAGTCTGCGCAACGAATGCGGAAGAACCGCAAACAAACGCGTGCCAAACTCAAATGACCGCGGCTCCGCAGCATCAACCAACACGTCCCGCGAAAAAGGGACTAGACGAGTCGGGAACTGCATCCGCTACGCGTCGGCGATGTCGGGATGGACACAAACGTCCAGAATAGAGAACAGAACATCCACTCCGATAATAACCACCCCGACACGCGAAGCCGTTCAGTAAGCGCACCTAAAGAAGGAATCAAACAAAGCAGGGCTGTTTACTAAACGCCCAAGGCTGTTTCATAAACGCCATTGTCTGGTCCGGGTGGTTGTTTCTCCCTTGACTGAAAGTGGCGCGTCGCCGATGCATCAGCCATGTGGCCCAATCCTCCAAACCCATCTGCGCCGGCCCCGTGTGGGCGGCCTGGGGACGCACGTGGCCCGCTGTCGACGAGTCCTTTTGCGTGCGGCGAACAATGTATGAGAAAGACGCCCATGCATTGATCGCGGGCCATGGGGACGACCGGGCTCGAACAGCAGTGAACGAACATGACCTTATGATATAAAGTGTACGTGGGTCCCCCTGAAAGGGGGAGAGAAAGAGAGAAGGCACCTGGCATACGTAAAGCGACATGCATTGGCGGCGCGCACATGGGGGTAAGGGAAAAGGGGGCAACTTCTTAGAACGAGGGCGTTTCTTGAAAGGCGCGGGTCTTAATCTAACCGCTAAAGGTCTTTACTCTTGGTCCCCCCCATTGTTTCTCGGCGGTGAATCGGGCTGGTACTACAACCTCCTCCTCCTCCTCCTCCTCCTCCTCAGCCCCGCGCCTTCTAAGAAACAGGGGTCTTTCTAACGAGCCCTACCCCCCCTTACCCCCTCCGCGCGTGGCCGGGATT